AAGGCATGTGCTTAGCAAAATTAAAAAAATAGTGTTGTCTTTTTTTTGCCTATTTTCAAAGCTTATTTAGCCTTTTTTTTTGTTTAAAATTCAAACCCTGATTATTAACATCTTTTTATCGGAGACGCTACATTTCGTGGGGGGTCAGAACACCTAAATCCCCCACTCTGGAAAGACTTTTATCGAGTAAGGAGCGCATGTTTATAAAATAAGAACTCTATTAACTTTATCTATAAATGTCTTCTTCGAAACAATTTTCTTTCTCAATTTACATACAAACCCAAGAAGATATGAAAATCGACTTTTAAATCTTTTAGTATTCTTTCTGCATATGCATACTTTCGCTGCTTGATATGTGTGTAAATTAGTTGATTGCAGTGAAAAATTTGTTGAAAAATTTGCTGTGCTCGCATCCAGATTGTGTACAAATTCCGGTATTGTTTTGTAGAAATGAGCTGAAGAATTTAGCTGGGCAATAATGTGAATAGTAGAAGACGGCAGGTTCACAGGCGCATATACATATTTTCACATACACATGTACATTTGTATGTAAATGCATATTAACACAAATGTATACAAATTTACAATTTAAAGCAAATAATTTTCTGCAAAGTCGGCTGCCAACTAGCATCTATTTAGTTAGTACAAATATATTGCTTATGTCTATACGGGTATTCATTTGTAGTATGTATCAATACTCATATGTATCAATTGTGTTTGTAAATATATTTTTTTGAATTTTTTATATTTTTTTTTATTTTGCCTTGCTTTCTTCGTAAAGCGCAAAGTCCGTTTAATTTATTGAAAATGCAAAAGTAAACAAAAATTGCCAAATTTTATTGAAATCAATGGGATTCGCTACGAATTCGAGAGCTATTGAGTCGTGCACCCACAAGCACATACCCTTTCACACACGTGCACTAGTAAATATTTTTGTATGCGTAATGTGAGACTAAATGTATACAAATTAAATACGTATGTATATCCGTTGACCGGCCATACATTTTGGAATAATTAAAACAAAATTGAGTATACAATTTTGCTAAAAGAAAACTAGAAAAAAATAGTATAGC